CAGGGTCGATGCTCTGGCTGCAAGCTGTCCCTGACCTCCCACCATGAGATGGCACCCCCAGGGCATCTGAAGCAGCTGGTTGCTAAATGAGAGGCATCCTAGTGAGGACGAGGAATGTGATGAAATGAGTCAAAACGTCCGTGTCTCTGCAGAGAGCTGTGTTTTAGGAAGAGGAGGTTGGGTCTGACCAGTCCCAGCGGGGAAGCAGAGCGGTGCTGGGCAGGCCTGGGTCGGCAGCTTGCTGGAGGGATTGGGCATTACTGTTCTCCCAGGAACCAGCGTCGAGCTGTAAATTAAAATAATAGCACTTGAGACCTGGCCTTCCTGGGTCAAGGGTTGGAATTTATGTCTGACCAGTGCCGGGTTGGAATTTATGTCTGACCAGTGCCATCCCAGGTGGCAGGGAGGACTCGGAGCGATGGTGCTGCTGGCAAATGAAAGAGGGTGGCCAGAGCATCCCTTCATCCCCGCAGGGCAGACCTGTGCCGGGGGACCACCAGCAGCTCAGCTGAAGGGACAGTCCCAGTGTTCAGGCAGGGGATGGCACAAATGAGACATCACATTGGCCTCTCTGTTGCAAATACTTAAGGAAACCAGCGTGCCCAGTCTGTCCTGGTGTGCAGCCAGGGCTCTGGATGAACTTTGCACTTGAATAGGATGGAGTCAGGGCATCAGATCATGTCCCAGGGTGTTGCAGTAAGAGGAAAGAAAGGAATGACGGCCCTGTTACGGTGACATTTGAAACCTCCTGGAACAATGCTAGGTTTCCTGTGGAAGGGAAGCACGACATCTCCCTCTGCCCACCCTTTCAGAAAGCTTTGCAGAGCTGACCCGCTTCCCTTGCAATTTGGGGTGGGGGCCTGAACCTCCACGTGTCTGTGGGTTTGATGGCTGGGAAGAGGTTTGCATTCCCCGTGCCACCCCTGCTTTGACTTGTCTCCCATCATGGTCAGGAGCTGTTTTGCTTAAGTCAGACATTTCCATGTGGTATCTTAAAGCCTTTTATTTCAAAATGTAAGATTGTTTCCTGGCTGACAGCAATAGCCTCTTTCAGCATTTGATTTACAATTACTCTAGCAATAAAGCTGTCTAGTGCTTGCTTTTGAATTCTCCTGTTCCTCCGCCTGTCCTTTCCGCTCGAACATCTGTCCCCTGCTGTCCCCGCGGGCCCATGGTGCTGACCAACTGTTCTCTCTGCTTTCCCCAAAGAACCTGGAGAAGCAGATGCGCCAGCTCGCTGTCATCCCGCCCATGCTCTACGATGCTGACCAGCAGCGTATTAAATTCATCAACATGAACGGCCTCATGGATGACCCCATGAAGGTCTACAAGGACCGGCAGGTGATGAACATGTGGAGTGAACAGGAGAAGGAGACATTCCGGGAAAAGTGAGTGCAACCTACACACCTCCCTTTGCGCAGCCCTTGGGAAACGTGCCCAGGACCCGTGCGATGCTTTGGCCGGGGCCCCAGCACGCTAAGGCGTGAATTTCCCAAGGGCTTGTCTTGCCCCCCAAGGGACACAGCCGCGGTCTCTGTGTTGCCTTGGACCTGGGCACAGGGTGATGCACCTGCACAGAAACCTCAGGCCTTTCTGTATGGTTGGTGTGTTCGTGCCCACGTGCAGAGATGCGGGAAGCTGCCGCTCACGACAGGGCGAGAACTAGAAGGTTTTCTGCTTCTGCTTCCCCCCATTGTATCGGCCAGTTTAAGGATAAAGCCAATGCTCCGTACGCTGTTACATTTTGGATTTACATGCCTGTCCTTTGCGCGCTGCATGTCCAGAGGGATTCTTGGGGCTGTCAACATCCAACCGCCCCATGCAGACCTCCTCAGGCTGCAGCTTCCAGCCGGTGCCCGTCCCTCAGCACTCTGTCCTGCTCTCTGCAGGACTTGCCACCAGCTGCTCTTTCCGTGGATGCATCAGACACGCGCAAACTCTGTCTGCGGTGCTTTCTCCTGTTTGCAAGCGGCGCTTGAGAACAGCTTTGCCTTATCGACTGAGATCACTTGGGGGGATTGCTGATCCCTTCCCTGGGTACCACCACGCTGTCAGCCAAGCTGTGGGGCCCAGCTCAGTCCCGCATCCGGACTCCTCCATGTCTCATAGCCTAGCAGGGACCCCAGTGTGTTTTCACAGAGGACCAGAGCATCCTTGGTGCCCCCAGCGTGCCCTGTGTGTCTGGAAAAACACAGCTGGCGTTCAGCTTCCAGCAGGATGAGCTCTGCCGGGGCTCGCTGCTCTGGACGCAAGGGACACAGGGGCACGTGGGTGCACCGGGGCCACCTCGTCCCTTGCAGCAGCACCGCCTTAGTCTGGCCTCCGGACGATTGTGAGATGGCTCCGTGGATTACCAGCAGGCCCACGGCCAGCCACGCTGGAAGCCTCTCCGTGTCCAGAATCCCTCCTCCTGTCCCTGCTTGTGATGACTCCTGTTTGCAGCTGAAATAACTAATTGCCGAGATGGACCGAAAAAGAACAAAACAAGCAAACAGGCTCCGAGCCTTTGGTAGAGGAGAATCCTCATTGCTAATTAGCCTTAAAATGTGACACTCCAAACAGCAAGGCTTGCCCGCAAATGACGCAAAGCCTAATTACTTGGTCTTTAATGGCGGGGCTGCGCCTGGCTAATGGGGCTGGAAGAATCCACACCCAGCTCGTGCATCCTGCTGTGCACGGTGGTTTCTGTGTCATCACCGTGGGTGATGCGGAGCTCGAGGCATAAATACAGCAGGATTTCAGGGCTCTCACAAAGCTCGTTTTAAGAGATTGGTACTTAGGAGCTGTAAGGAGGGCCAAGGGAGGCTTGCCCCGGCTCTCGCCCTGATCCTGGTGCGCGGGGAGCCGAGCTGCCTGGTGTGCTGCAGCTTCTGGCCTGGGTGTTTAAGGTGAACCAAAGTTGTGTCATCTGTGACCATGACCCAGAGCTGGCCTCTTCCTGAGACCGTGAAAATCTGGTGCAACCTTTTGCTCAGCCCATGAGGAAGTCTGATTTGATTTGCTTCTGGGCAGGATTTCAGGTGTCTTTATTGAGAGCCCATCGCTAGCCTGCTCCCCGGGGGGCCGTGGTTTGCTGGTGAAGGAGCGGGGATGGCTGCGGTACCCCTGGATCCCACTCAGGCGTCGAGACCCTGTCGTGCTGGGCACTGTGAGAACGCAGCATCCGTCCCTCATCACGGGGACACGGCCTGGCCCATGAAAAGCAGTGGATTGTCATCTGCATTGCCCCCGATGCTGCGTTACCATCACTGATAACGTGGCCTTGAAAACCCTGTGCCTTGGTCAGCCCTTGGCTTGCGCTGCAAACAGCGTGACAGGCCAGCTCCAGAGCTGTGCTCTGATCCCAGGCTGTCTGAGCAGTCCAGCTGCTTCGCTTTTGCTGGTTTTTTTTGCTTAGTTATTCTGGTTTCTTTTTTCTTTTACTTATTCAGTCACATGTCTTGTGGGATCTCCCTCGTGTCTGTTATATCTGGAGGGGGTAGGGGGGTGAATTTTGCCCTTCAAAACACTTGATGGCAAAAAGGCTGATAGAGACTTGGGTCCCCATTAAGCATCCGAGCATCATGCTCCCATTGCTGTCCATGCTCCCACCTCCCACGTCCCCCACCCTGTCCTACGTTGTCACCCACAGTGGCCTCGTGCTGGCTGCAGCAGAGATGAGATCCCTTGCTTTGGTGACTGGTTGCGGTGACGGGGCTCTTGCAGTGCCACCCAAACCAGATGGGGGTCCTGCATCAAGAAGGGCATCGGCGCGTGGGGGACACCACCCACATCCTGCTGCCACGGCTGAAGTCGGGCAGGCCCTCGCTGAGCTCAGCTCGCTGCCCTGACCCTGACCTTGCCGGCGGGGCTGAGCGACGAAGGCGGGAGGAGAGGGCTCGGCCAGCAGTCCCGGGGGAATCACCGGCAGGGCTGGAGGCACCGAGCTGCTCAACACGTCCTGCC